CTCTCTCTCTCTCTCTCTCTCTCTCTCTCTCTCTCTCTCTGTGTGTGTGTGTGTGTGTGTGTGTGTGTGTGTGTGTGTGTGTGTGTGTGTATGTACCAGTGAGTTTCACTGAGATGAGTATATGAGCAGTGACAGAAGCCTAAGCCCCTTACCAGGGACACCACTGAACCTATGTCTCTCCCTCCCTCAGTAACCATTAACTGCCTATAGGTCCTCAGACCTCTCTACAGGTGGGGCCCCGTGAGCCTCTCCTCCATCCATGCCAGGATATTAATAGACCCAGTATTGTGCAGGTCCTGTGCGAGTAGCCATGTGTGAGCTCAAGAGTGCCACAGCCATGCCACGCCTGACCGTCATTTATTCTCAGCCCCCTGACCATCTGTGCATCTCTGCAGGTACCCACTGCAAAAAGATGCTTCTCTGACCAAAGCTGACAGTAGACTAGTCTATGAGGATAAACATAACTAGAGGACGTTTTGACTGACACTTCATGTCCATTTAGCTCCGGCTCCCCTCCTAGAGCCCATGACCTCCACAGCTATAAGCCTTTGACCAAGTTTACAGCACCAGACATGAATTCCCTTCTGCAGCGCCAGCCTCACATCCAATCAGAAGTGGTTGTTGTCACCATAACAGACATGCCAGTACTGCACCGGTGAGCACATCTTGCTGGTGGGCAGCCAACTGCAATGATGACTGCCTAAACAGTCTTGGGGTGTCAGGGGCCTCCCGGAGGTATCTATCCCACCCTGGCACTGGGATTTTCATTTGAGTAACCTATGGCTTCTGGAGACAGCTTTATCCATTTATGAAGTCTTTTTTTTTTTAACTACCATTAAAAAGTCTTTTTTATTTTATTGTATATGTGTGCCACAATGCATGTATGGAGGTCAGAGGACAGTTTGCAGGAATCAGTTCTCTCCTTCCAACACGTGGGCTCTGGGGCTCTAACTCAGACTGTCAGGCTGGGCAGCAAACACCTTTGCCCACTAAGCTATCCTGCCAGCCCATGTTTTATGTTTTCATTAGCTTACCAAGCACCAGGATTGCCTGTGGCTTCTTCACATGCCCTTGCTTTGGGGTGATCTCCCCTCACGGACCCCTCTTCTCCCCACCTCCCTGCCACTCCTCTTTAAACCTGGCCACCCCAGTATTCACCCTTCCACTTCCAAATCACGTGTCCATCACCCTCTCCTACCCTGGAAGCCTCTTTTATCGCCCCTCATGGCCCCTGTCTAGTTCCCTGACCACACAAACTCACCCCCATATAAACCTACATCTATAAATATCAGAAGCTTAGATCCTCGTATGAACATGTGTTTGCCTTTCTGAGCCTGGGTTAACTCACTTAATATAATATTTCCAATCCCATCTATTTTCCTACAAATTTCATCATTTCAGTTTCCCTTACAGCTGAATAAAATTACATTGTGCATTTTCATTATCCATGGACGTCTAGGCTGACTTGAGTTTCATTTCTTTAAAATGCTAAATTAATTTGGCTTGAGATTAGAACAGAATTTCTTAAAAAAAAAAATCTGAAATGGCCCCAGACAAGCTTCTGCCGTTTTGTACTATCGTTGAAGATGTTCTAAGTCCTTCAATATCAAATATTCAACCAAGATTTCATCCTTTATGTAAAAGTGAGCACACCCATGTCATTTGCTGTCATCTTTAATAAATGATAAAATTACATGTATACCAAAAAACTGTCTTAAAATAACTTTCTTTAAGATCAGTAAGTGATGAATCTGTACATCTATTTTATATACCTTTATATCTAGGGTCAGATTAAAATTTCTTGGGTGAAAGGGGGTCACGGTGGGAAAATTGAAGAAGGCTGTTGTCCGCTGCCAGCTTGTTTTTCATGTTAGCAGCTGCAGCTTCAACCTCTGGCCCTCCCTGGCCCTCCGCACCTCTGCCTTCCGGGTCTTGACCCTTTGTAGAGTGTCAAATGGGTATCACAGCCATGTGTCACCTACCTACTGTGTATAGAGCAGCAAGTGTCTGCAAGGACCCCAAACAGGAACCAGCAGGGAACCCCAGCACCGAGCTGGAGATTCCTCTGATGCCCGTGGGCCCCATTCTACCACATTCTCCCCAAGCCCTCTGTGTGTCATACCCACCATCCTCCACTCATAAAACCTCTGCCGAGAGTAAAGGAAGAGGCTGGTCTGTGTGCCCTTCAGTGCCTGGATTACCTCTTTTCTTGACCCCTAGTGGAAGTGTCCTCAGCCCTGCTGTAGGTGACACAGTTGACTGAAAGAGAAACCTCAAGAGTCAGTTGCCTATTGCCCCTACTGTACCACAGTTGAACCCCTGAGCTGCCTTCCCAAGTACCAGGCCTGAATCTCTGCAGAGTCTAGGAATCAACCTCATGTGGCAGTAGTAGTGGCCCTGGTGGCATGTCCCTGAGTCCCAGTATCCCCTTCTATAACATAAGAAGCTCCAAACTGAAAATGTCTCAAATCTGTTCTTGTTATGTTATCTGTATTCTACAATCTAGAACAGGAATGCTCAGACCCACAACACACACGTCCATGTCTTGTGTCTACTACACTCATGGCAGACATCAGTAATCAATCGCCAATCTATCGAATATCTGAATCTTTCTCAAGACAGGGCAGAAGGTATTATTATAGTTACTTCTCCCATTGCTGTGACAGAATATCTCACAGCATTAATAAGATAAAAATCATCTTACCAGCTCTGGTTATAGGGTGGAAACTGGACTAGGAGCAGGTCTCAGGAACAAGAGTCAAACACCAACCAGGTCCAGCCTCTCCAGAGGGAAGCTGCCATGAGCGAAGACCTGTGATCCATGCTGGCAAGGAAGCATCGGGCTCCAGAGTACCTGTGACTGTCTTCCCCAAAGACTCAGAGCCTTTTTGCCTAGTCCTAAGACTCAGACCCTGACTTTTTCCCCTCACTCAAGTTAGAGATCTTCATGGCACCCCAATTATCCATACGCTCCCTTAGTCTTCAGCAAACACACTAGCATTTGTTTCTGGGTCTGTAAAGCAGCTCTGGTCCGAAAGCCAGCACTCAGGGCTCCAGGGGAAAGCGTGGGGCACCTCTGAACCATATAAGCAGGGCCACCTGGCCGGTGTGCCACACTCCTCATTTGTGTTCACTTGAATCAGTGCTCAGACCCAAGGAAGCCAGACAAGAGCATCATTCTTACCCTTTTCAATGGCCCTTCTGGTGA